AGAAATTAGAAATAAGGGGCTACGGATGTAGCTCAGTGTATAGCTCTCACCTAGCATCCTCAGGCCTTGGACTCCAATCCCAAGCAGCTAAATAAATAGACGAATAACTTAGAGCTGGGTATGGTGGGTCACACCTGTAATCCAGCAAAGGTGGGAGGTAGAGGCAGGAGGATTATGAATTTGAGGCCAGCCTGAGCGCCATAGAGAGACCCTGTTTCAAAAAAATAAAACAAAACAAATTAGAAACAGAACCTCAGAATAAACACAAAGAGTACAAATGTTAGGAAATAAAAACACTGATGGACTGGGATGAGAGATTAGGAGTGAATGTATGCAAGTACACATAACCAAAATAAGAGCTAAAAAGAGACAGTACTACAGACTTGGCAGACAAAGGAATATTATAAAGAACTTTATGCCAATAAACCTGAAAATCTGGAAGAAATGGACATATTCTCAGAAAAAATATGCCTTACCCAAACTAAAATGGGGGAAAAAGTGTTCTATAATCACTAAAAAAATTAAATCAATAATTAAACTTTCTATAAAGAAGGCAGGGCATGTCAGTGCATGCCTGTAATCCTAACATTCCAGAGGCTGAAGTAGGAGAATCCAGAGTTTGAGGCCAGCTGGGCTACACAGTGAGACCCTCTCTCAAAAAAAAAACCAAAAACAAAAACAAAACTTTTCTATGAAGAAACTCCAAAGTCAGGTTACTTTATAGGTGAATTCTCCCAAACATTTAAGGAACAAACAATTCCAATTTTACACAAGCTACACTATGATGCAGCAAAAAGGATGCACTCCTCAGCCTCTGCATAAAAATGACAGAAGAGTAGAGGACTGAGGACCCAGTTACAGGGGCAGAGCGTTACACAGAATATTAATGGTGAAAAAACGCGCTGTGTGTGTGTGTGTGTGTGTGTGTGTGTGTGTGTGTGTGTGTGTGTGTTGTGTTGTGTTGTGTTGCTGGGGACAGAATCTAGGGCCTCACCCACACTAAGCAATCACTCTACCATCAAGGTACAGAGGTACCAGCTCTGAGTAATAACAGTCTAAATCCACCAATGCACAAAAGGTACCACAACATGACCAAGCTGGGGTTTTTCCAACAGCAGGTGAGTTTAATACTAGAAAATCAACTCATGCAATTTACCACACTACCAATTACAGGGGAATAATCACATAGTGTTCTTAATAAAAAGAAAAGCATTGGGCTGGGGGTATGGCTTAGTGGTAGAGTGTTTGCCTATCATCAAGCCAGCACCCACCCCACCCCACCCACCCCCCAAAAACGAAGAAAAAAGTGAAGTGTTTTTGACTCTACACCATCTACACACACACACACACACCTCTGTGTGTGTGTGAGAGAGAGAAACAGAGAGAGACTAGAGTTTGAACTTAGGGCTTCACACTGGCTAAGCAGGTGCTCTATCACTTGAGCCATACCTCCAGTACTTTTTGTTCTAGCTATTTTGGAGATGGGGAGGGGTGTCTCACTTTTTGTCGAGGCCAGTGTGGACTGTGATCCTTTGATTTATGCTTCCCAGGATGGCAGGTGCGCCACCATGCTCAGTTTTTCTTCTATTGAGACAGGGGTCTCACAAATTTTTTTGCCTGGGCTGGCCTTGAACCACAATCCTCTTGATCTCAGCCTCCCAAGTAGCTAGGATTACAGGCATGAGCCACTGGCACCTAGCTAACAATTTTTTGAAGTCTTATTCATCATGAATAGGATGGGACTCCTTTTAACTTTCCAAAGGGTATCTACAAAAAGTTACAGCAAACATCATTCTTAGTGGTGAACCACTGAAACTTTCCATAAAATCAGAACAAAACAAAGCATGAGCACTACAGCTAGTCAATGCTGCGACAGCCACCATAGCAAGGCAAGAGGAGGAAAATAGGAGGGAAGTATGAAGAACAGAAGTGTGTCATTTGCAAAAGACAAAAGCATACACATAGAAAATGCAAAATAATCTACAAAAAAGCTATGGTTTAAATAATAGTGAAACTGCTGGCTTCAACAATCAACTGAACTAAAGCCAGGCAGGGTAGCATACACCTGTGGTTCCAGCTTCTCAGGAGGCTGAGGCAGGAAGATTGCTTGAGCCCAGGAGTTTGAGCCCAACCTAGACAATGCAATGTGAAATTCTGCATTCTAAGTGGTAGCTCTGATTCCCAACGAGCCCACATAAGCTGGGAGTTAGGTGTGGCTCAGTGGTAGAACACTTGCCTAGCATTCACAAGGCCCAGAGTTCAATTCCCAGCACCACAGGGGAAAAAAAAAAAAAAAACACCATGAATCATCATGAGCTGGGCGAGGTGGCACACAGCAGTCATCCACTCAACTTGGGAGACTCAGGTTGACCTGACTGGGTTAGGAGGGTAAAGAGACACTCCAGCCTAGAAGAGGGTGTATTCAACACTGTTAGCCAGGAAAAGATTACTATCCCCTACAGAAACCGCTGAGAAGAAGGAAAAAGGGAGAAAGAAAAATTGGCAAAAGAAATCAACAGGAATTTCACTGACAAGGAAGTACAAATGTCCTCAATTCGTAATCACAGAAATTCAAATTTAAAAAACCACAATACCATTTCACACCCACCAGACTGGCAAAAATTAAAAGTCAGACTTGTGTTGGCAAGAATGTGGAGCAATGGAGACTCTCATCCCTGTTGCTGGGGGCCAGAGTTGGTAGAACCGCTCCGGTAAGCCACTGGGTAGTAATGCTGAGCACACACATGCCTCGCACCCCTAAATTCTACCATGAGGCAAAACAGGCCTGCCAACACCAGGGAGAGACACAGTCACAGGAGACAGGTACAAAAATGTCTACGATCGCAGGCAAAAACCGCAAATAGGCCAATGGTCTCTCGACAGAAGCAGAGGCAAGGAACTGTTATTCCAGGGAATACTATGCAGCAGAGAACACACCAGCACAGATGTGGCTCAAAAAGCCAAAGACTAGGCCAAAGCAAGAAGCTAAAAGAACACAGAGAGAATGATCCCATTAGCACAAAATCCCCAGATGAGCAACACTACATAGGAGACTGTCCAAGGACATGGGCTCAGGTGGTGTCAGCACACAGCAAAGCAGGGGAGGAGCACAGCACGTGAGACAGGTAAGGGGTGGTATTGTACCTGAGAATGTGTGCACTCTGCACAAACTATCTACTCCACCACCCAGGCCCCTGGTGTCCACACCAGAGCCAGCTGCCCTCCATCCTGTCTGTCCCTTCCTCTCTACATCATCCAGGCAACAGCCTAGGGCACCCCAGCATCTGGTTCTACCTGCCCCAGGCACCCCACCCTGCACCATCTGCTGAGCCAGTCCTAACCAGCCTTCCCATGCCTTCCCCTCTAGAAAAGGATCTTCTAGACAATCCAAAAAACAAGGCGCAGAGCCAGCATGGTGCTACACACCTGCAATCCCAAAACTCAGAAAGCTGAGGCAGGAGAATTGCTACTTTGAGGCCAGCCTGGGCTACATATGGAGACCCTGTCTCAAAAAAAAAAAAAAGGGAGAGAGTGGGGGCTGGGGGTGTGACTCAAGTGATAGAGTACAAGATCAGCCTGGGAAACAGGGCATAGCTCTGCCTTAAGGAAAATAGACTTTCCTCATTCAGGGAGGCCCAGAGGCTGCTGAAGCTGCACAGGGGAGGTAGGCAATGCTCTGGGACCTGTGGTGGTACACTCAGGCGTGGGGGATGGGCTCAGGGCCGGCTGACAGCCAGCACAGGAGCCAGGGGCTGGGTGACAATGGTGATGCAGAGAGGGAGAGACATGGGGCAGGAGGTCCAGCACCACCCCTGAGTGTGGGGCCTGATCCTGGCGCTGGGAACCACTCCTGAGCTTGGGTTTGAGGCAAATGCTGACCTGCAGGTCTCACATACACTAAGTCCTGCAGGAGGTTTTACAGGTGTGGGAGTCCTGTCCAGTCCTTCCTTTCCACAGGGCACAGCCAAGACCCTAACGTCCTGGCTCTGCCTGGGAAAGGGCAAACACGACCAGTAGGCACCTGTGCATCCCTAACACCATGCTCAGAAATACCCGTGCAAGGCCTACCTGAAGTCTGCCTGCAGTGAAACACAGCTCCTTGGCAAACCTCTACTCGGGGACAGCGTGTCCCCTCGGTGGCACAATGGTTACGTCCTGCGCCTGGTGGCCCTCCTGAAGTCCCCGCTGGGAAGCCCATGCACCTTCAACTATCTCCAGGGAGAGGTCTCACCACACCCGCATCCCCCTCTTAGCCTGGGTCTAGTACAGAACCACAGCCTTGTAGGAGAGCTCCTCTCTCCTCCCCAGCCTGGGAGCCTCCTCAGCAGGAACCGAGCCAACAAGAAATCACAAAAGTTTCAAGCTGTGCAAGGGAAACCAGGAAGATGCAAGTCCACACAGAGTATGGATGGCCACAACGCTGGCCCCATGGGTAAACCCTGTCCAGTCCTTACCACTGGGCGAGGGGGCGGTCGCCTACCAAGTGGAGGTCAGCAAGCCTTTTGCACCGACAAAATTAACACCTCCAGGCAAAGAGCAGTATGGATTCAGGGATGCAGGCAGTGCCAACAGGGCAGGAGAGGACCGACCCCGACCCGCAAGACGGAGGGGGAAAGCCAGGGCCCCCCTCCCGCCCAGGCAAGGGTTACACCGTGGTCCTAAGTTGGTGTGTCCTCCGGACACTGTGCGCCTGAGGCCCAGGCCTCTGTGGGTTGACAGTCCCGCTGGGCGCGAGGGGAAATCTGTGGTACCCGGAGGCGAGGAAGAACACCCCATGTCCAATCCGCAGCCCCGCACCGGGAGGCAGGTGTCAAGGTGCAGGCTGAACGCGAGCCAGGCGAGCCGCAGGGCCGGGCGGCCAGCCAGCACCGCTCGGAGGACCTGCGCCCCGCTCCCGGTCGGGCGTCGGCCCTGGGGGCGCGGGGTCCTGGCCCGCCTGCTGCAGGCCTGGGAGCCGGCAGGTGCGCGCGGACAAAGCGCGGCGAGCGCGGGGGGCGTACCTGGGCACGCAGCTGGGACTGGAGCCGTCCACCTCCCAGGTGGCGAACAGGTTCATGGGCACGGGCGTGTTGAGCGCGCCGGGCGCGCCGGGGAGGCCGAGGCGGCCCCGCTCGGCCATGGCGCCGGCCCCGCCGTCCCTCGGCGGCCTGGGGCTGCGCCGGGCCGCGGGCGCGCGGCGGGCGGGCGGGCGGCCAGGCGCGCGGAGGGCGGCGGCGCGGTCACATGGTGCCGGCGGCCGGGCGGGCGTCGAGCAGGCCCGCGGGCGGTGTCCTGGCTGCACCCGCGCCCCGCCCCTCCGCCGCGCGGCGCAGCCGATTTGCTGAGCACGTTGGGCTCGCACCCCACACCCAATCACCGCCCGCCGGAAGTGAGGTGCCGCGCGCCCCCCACCGGGCGTCCCCGCTGTCGGCCGCGGGAGCGCGCGTTCACGCGCCTGCGCATAGGCCCCGCCCGGCGCGCGCGCCCCGCCCCCCAGGGACAGGAGCAAGAGGCGCGAGGGTCTCAGGAGTGACCCCGTACGCGGGGCCCGCATGCTTCTCTGCTCCGTCTCTCGCACCCTCCGGCATCCCCTGTCCCCCGGCGCTCCCTGAGAATGCTCACTGTACCTCAGCCATCCCGTGTTCCCCACACCCGACCCCGGGGCCTGGACGCATCCGTGTTCCCGGGTGCCTCCTCTCCCCTGCCGTCCCAGGTGTCCGCGCACAGGCCCTTGTAGGCCACTGGCCCACTCTTCATGCCCCAGAGTCCCCAACTACCCACCCGTCCCCCTGTGCCCCTCTGTGGCGGGGCCAGGTGGGACGCGAGGCCGGCGCCATCCCTGCCACTCAGGGGCACTTAGGCTGGATAAGCCACGGGCTGTCCTCCCTAGCTTCCCCCTGCTGCGACCTCCTCCTGTACAGCCTCCCTGCTATTCAGCAGCGCTTTTCGGAGTTTTTCTCGAGACCATGAGAACAAATGTATGGGGCAGAGTCCCTCCTGCTTGGGGACCAGTTCATGGTGAACTGGTGACCTAAGCCAATAGGCAACAACCCCCAGAGCTGCCCACTCTACCGGACCTCGGACAGAGCTGTGGAAAGGATGTCTAGGTTCTGGGACTCAGGAAGGTATCCCTCCCTGTCCTTTTGCCATGTCTCTGGCTATAGTCAACAGATGTAGGAAAAGCTTTTCTGGCATGTCTTGTTTCTCTGTATCTGCAGCTTTACACAGTTAACATTTCTCCCATTCCTCTCTGTGACTTACTTATAAGTGCTTTAATTGAAACAACCCCAGTCCAGGCCAATCTGCTTTGACCAGGCTGTCTTTCTTTGCCTTGGGGTTTAACCCTAGCAGCTCCTGTTAGTACTTGTCCCAGAGAAGGCCCTTGGGGCTACGTCCCCCTCTGCAAGAGGCAGCCTCCTGCTGCAAACAGCTGCCACTGCTTAAAGCTAGGATCCCCTTCAGGGAGAACAAGGGGACCTGTGTTTCCCACATGTTCCCTGCTCCTTCAGTTTGGGGTGATACAACTGAAAGCTATAAGGGTCTGTCTGCCTGTGGCCAGCTGACTGGGGTATTGTCTTACACTATAGCCTTGTCCAGGCAGCGAGCACAGCGCCCGTGGAGCTTGTACCTAGGAGGGGGTAGGCTGCGTTCAGAGAGCTGCAGCAGCCTGGTAAGGACAGGCTGCCTTTGATGCGAGGGCAGAGGACGGATATCCACTGACCTCAGCACTTGGCAAGCAGTGCTGGGGACAGCATGGAGGTGCAGTGGCAGGCAGATGAATGGGCCGTCTGACACATCGTGTCTGTGTGCACCAGGCAGGCGGTACAGCCAGGGCCAAGGGAGAAAATGTGGGGTGACTAAGCCGTGCACACTGGGGCTTGACACCAGTGGCCATGGTTGAGCTGTGCCCCTCCCTTGTACCAGGCACCATTGTGAGCCCTCAGCGAATATGACATCTCTGCCATCCCCATTTTACAGAGGAGGAAACTGAGGCATGTGAGGTTCTGCAGCTAGGAAAGGGAGGAGTCAGGGAGTAGAAATGTTTAAGTTCTACAGGGCAGGGAGGCAGTCATACAAGCACACCGTGTGTGTGTGTGTGTGTGTGTGTGTGTGTGTGTGTGTGAAAGAGAGAGAGAGAGAGAGAGAGAGAGAGTGATGTGGACATGTTTTCCAAGTAGTGATAGCACTTTGAATCAGAGTTGCCTTTTTTTTTTGCCAAACCTGTAGTTTTCACTCTCATAGGTCTGTATTCAAAAGTGACGCTTTTTTTGTCTTACTTTTGTGGACTGTGGGTCCAAGATGAGCATCCTGAAAGCCAGGAGGTGCTCCTTCCTGTGAGCCAGGCATGGTGTGACACCCCACCTACACATTTGGAGCACTTTCTGATCACTTTTTCTTTAAAACAGGATCTCAGTTCAGGATGAACCTGTCTGGACAACTGGGGTGGCTGGGCAAGTTGGGAAGGAAGCCTGAGGAGAGAGTCTTGGGACCTGGGGTCCCAAGAGGATACCCTGAAAGCCACTGCCGACAACCTGACATTGGGCTGCCTGCCCAGCAACATGTGTTTGTAGTAAATTAATCAGGCTTCCAAATGGCCCACAGGACTTCCACAGTGTTAAAGAGATCAAAGCCACCAGGTACCAGTAATCTTAGCTACTTGGGAGGCTGAGATTGAGAGGACTGCAGTTCAAGGCCAATACAAATAGTTTTCGAGACCCATCTCCAAAATAACCAGAGCAAAATAGACTGGAGGTATGGCTCAAAGCACCTGCTCTGTGAGTGTGAAGCCCTGAGTTCAAACCCCAGTCTCACCAGAGAGATACAGCAAGAAAGAGAGATCAAAGTCCTACCCCTGGGCAACAGGACAAGGCAGAGGCTTCAGCCCTTTTTCTGCAGGTACACCAGTTGTCACTGGGGTTTCCTCAGCAGGTCAGGGTGCAGGCATTTCTAGCTAGTGCTCTGGGCTGTGGGTTTCTTGGAAACTATTAATCTATTTAGCCTAAGTTAAGGTGATATGAACGTGGCCTGGGAACATGAAGCAAGCATATGCTTAAGAGGAGCTCCTGTCCAGGCCCAGAGACCTTGGGCTGTTCCAAGATACAAGGACCACGGGGAATACAATATGCCTCTGAGTATGCCAGAAGTGCAGTAGGCTCATGTGCTTGCAGTTAGTGACTGTTCTCTTGCTGGTGCTGAGCCTTCTACAGCCCTCCCACCTTCCTGGTGGAAGACCTGTGAGCTCGTCTGTGCTGTTACCTTTGGGACAGTTCCAGTCCATCAGGAGTGGCCAGAGCCTCCTACAGGACCCCTGCACCATCGGCTTAGTCACTCCAGTCCACAGTTCTGAAGCTCCTTGTGGCTAGAGGCAATTCTGTGTGGGACAAGCCCCTGACCAGCCCCTACTATGGTGGAGACAGAACTGCAGACTCCTGTATATGGCCTTGTGTGGCCAGGTTAGGGACAGAAACTTCACACCACATGGAGTAATCACATGGAGTGCCAGAGATGCAGTCCTCTTCAGGGAAAAGAATGCTGTGACTGGGAGCTCAAAGAGCCTCATGGTGTAAGGTAGGAGTGCAGGGAAAGGCCAGAAGTAGGAAGACTGACTACAGAGCACCACAGCATTGCAGGCATGGTCCATGAGAGTGGATCAGACATGTGGAGAATTAGAACAAGGACTGCCTGTGGTTGGAGGACTGCTCTTGGGGCACCACCAACAGGTTAGAAATTCATAGGTTCCTGTCATGTCTATCTCACCCAATTGCATGTCCGTCTGCCCCATCCACATGAAAGCCTGGGCTCCATATATCAATACAGTGTATAGGATCTTGGACACCCTGCTTGATGACATGTGGAGCAGGCCCTAAATGACTGGTGCTGACTGTTACAAAGTCAGAAATTCTACCAGGAGCTACCATTGAAGATATCCCCAATGATCTCAAAAAGTTATGGAGTCATAAGTTATGTTCATTCATTTATTTAATAAGTGATTATTAAGCTGAGCCTGGTGGTACATTCCTGTAATTTCAGCTACACAGGAAGCACAGGTAGTAGGATTGTGGTCTGAGGATGCCTAGGAAAAAGCTTGAGACCTTATCTGAAAAGCAAACTAAAAGAGCAAAAAGACTGGCTCAAGAGGTAGAGTGCCAGTTCAAAACCATGGGTACAATCCCCAGTACCACACACACAAAAATTTATCAATCCAGTTTCAAGCCCTGGGGACATAGGAAAGAAAAAATCAGATGGGTACTCAGCCTTAAGGAATAAACATTGTCCTGGAGAGAGAATATAAATAGGTCGCCTAACATGTAAACAGTATGCTTTCAGATCTGGCAATTGAGGCAGAGTGGGGAAGGGGCGGTGTGATGGTGTTTGAGCGAGGCCTGAGGGCAGTGCAGAGCCAGCTGCAGGAAAGAGCAGGGCTGGCCAGGGAGAAACTCGTCTGCCTGGCCCAGGCTCTTCAGGGCAGGGTATCCCTGAAGGTGTAGGTCAGGACTGCCCTTGGCCCAGCAGCCCCCAGGTGAAGATTGGCCCAAAGCAGCAGCAGGTCAGGAGGAAAAATGCTACCAGATGGGGTTGCCCTGCAGGATGGCCACAGAGAAAGGCCCCAGGTAGGGAGGACATTTCTGAAGGAAAGAAGCCACCAGCATATGGCAGAGGAGGGTTGACAAGTACTCATTCTCAGAGTAGCCTACAGCTACTCTTCATTGTTAGAAGAGCAAAATTTTGCATTTGGTGAAGTTCTTCCCATCTTGTACCTTTATGGAACGTGCTTTTGGTATTGTTCAAACCTATGAGCTCTCTTCCCAACCCACTGTCATGGAGAGGGTGATTCTAGTAGTTTCTTCTTTTTTTTAAACCCTCCTTTGGGTCTGGGGTTTTGAAACCATGGCCTCATTCCTGCTAGGTAAGATCTCTACCACTTGAGCCATGCCTCCAGCTCTTTTTGTTTTTAGTTATTTTTCAGATAGAATCTCACACTTTTGCCTGACTTGGCCTCAGACAGCAATCCTTTTACCTCTGCCTCTCAAACAGCTCACCACTCCTGGATTTTCTTTGAGATGGATGTCTCACTAACTTTTTGCCTGGGCTGGTCTTGAACCTGGATCCTCCTGTCTCTACCTCACAAGTAGCTGGAATTACAGGTAAAAGCCAATGCACCACATCAGTTCTAGTTGTTTCTATATGGATTTGGGAGAATTTTCTACATTCAGATCATGTGGTCTTTTTCCCAACCAGTCTGGGTGCCATGTTGCCATTATTTTGAGTTGCCATGTTCTTGGGTTAAA